GTGGAACAGCCACACGGAGGGGCCGGATCACCAGAGTCACCAGGCTGGGAAACATGAGCACAGATCTCATCCGCTCACTTCATGGCCAAGGGATCCAGCAGGTTCCTGCCCCATGCCCTGACCACAGACTCACTCGGCTGCACTTGGCAGACGGAAAACCTCTGTCCTGACACTGACAGGGACACCGATTCCTGAAGCAGTGGCAGCAGTGGCTTTCCCAAGCTTGCCCCTTGCATTACAGCCAGCTCCGGAAAAGCTTTACTTCCAAACCCATCACCTTCACAACCAACAGCTCCACCAGCAGCAGCTCTCGATGCCGATCCCAGAGGAATGATGAATGCTAATTATCTTGCTCTGGGATTGCTCACCACAATGGACGTCTCCAGTGTCACTTATCAACAGCTTTGTTTTGACATGCTCATCACGCACTACATAATTAGCACCTTCAACACTTCAGCATTCAACATTCCAGACTTTCCCAGTGACAGACAAGACGAGGAACCGACTCCTTACCGAAATGTTCCACATCATTTTGATAGCTAACGGAAAAGCCTCCTTCGGTTGGTGTTTCACTACGGGCTCCTCTTCAGCTGCCTGTGAAGCTGGGCCATGCCCTGCGAGGTGGCTGCTGTCCCCACAGCCCCGACCACGGGGGGAGAAAGGAATAGCTGCTTCATACACCGCGGCGCTGCAGCCCTTCCCGATGGGTTGGCCGATGAGATATTCCTCCAGCTTGAAGCCCTGCCAGCGGAAGGAGCTCAGGGGATCTTTCTGTGGCTTGTTCTTCCCAACAAACACGGTCTGAAAGGAGTAAGAGAAGACAGTGATAAAAACCCCATTCGGTTGTTCAAGCATTCCCAGTGAAGGAGAACTCTCTTGCTGTTGAAGCAGTATCACGCATCCTGTTTGGTTGGTCCAACCTGGAAAGCCATTATCAGGCTCTAACCATTAGGCTCAAATCACTGTAACCATAGAGAAAATAATGAGCAGACCATGAATTTGTCTGAAACAAATAACCCCTAAAACACTCTGTATCAAAGGTGCCCTTTCCGAGGGTGCTGAGGATGCACAGGAAGAAGAGGAATGGGGAGGAGGATTCATTTGCTAATCTAGAACATCAATACAGACAACTCTAACGAAATCATCGAATCCCAGACTGGTTTGAGTTGGAAAGGACCTTAAGATGATCCAGCCCCAATCCACTGCCACGGGCAGGGACACCTTCCACTAGATCAGGTTGCTCCAAGCCCCTGTGTCCAACCTGGCCTTGAACACTGCCAGGGATGGGGCAGCCACAAGAAGATGTGAGACAACAGAGCACAGGAGAGCACAGAGCAGCCACAACCCTACAGGTCTGGTGGTGCCAGAGCTGTCACCTGCAGTGGCTGGTTAAGGAATGTGCCCCGGGACAACGGGACACAGACTCGGGGACAGGGGAAAGGAGAAGACAGCAAATGTAACTCCCCAGCAAGCGCAGGGGAGGGGAAGCATCCTGAGAAGCCTGATGGAGAGGCAGCTCCTCTGTGGGAACGTGCTGGTCCCTGGCTAGCGGTGACTGCTGGCACCAAACACCAAAGGTCTATTTTTACCCATGAAAGCTGTTCAGCACCATCCGTCCTGGTGCCCTGCCAGCACCGTCTGCCTCGGGAACAGGGGACAAACCTGGGGGCTCAGCACCAGCCTCCTGGGACACGAGACGCCCACCACCAGGGCCATGACCCGCTCCCTTTGTGGGGGGACAGGGGGTGAGGGTGTCCCCACAGTGAGGATCCTGCAGCACCAGCTTTAGGACTGCTGACAGGGAGGTCTCCCCAGTACCTGTTTTGTGGGGTGTCCGTGGGGCTCCCCACAGCAGTGA